AACTGCTCCAGCTGTCTCAGGTTTGAAGGGTGCCTTCTCCAGACTGCATGTTTCAGCTCCTTTCACAGATGTTCAATAGGAGTTAGATCAGGGCTCATAGAAAGCCACTTAAGAATAGTCCAATAGTTTCAAGTTATTTCAGTGACCATGGTGGGTTTTTATTTCTTTAATGGAAGGGTACCAACAATTTTGTCCACTTCTGTAAGTAACAGTTTTAGAATTGTGATATTGTGGAGAAACAAGACCCATGTATTGCTGTATGAGCAGACAACTACACTTTGTAACAGTGATTCAGATGATTATAGCATAGATAATTAAAGTTGGTCCATTCATCTGTATTTGTCAATATCACAAAACACATTAGTTTATAATGACTTGTGAGGTTGCACCTGATGTGATTGAGAATGCCAGTAAACACTGTGTAGGGCAGCAAAAAACTATTATTTTCATTAATTGATCTGCAGATTATTTTCTCAATTTGTTGTTGATTAATTAATTTATTGTCTATGAAATGTTAGAAAAGGTCTTTAAATGTCTTCCAACAGTCCAAACCCCAAAGATATGGAGTTTAGAATGACACAAAACAGAAAAATGTAGCAAATCTTCCCATTGTATAACCAGTGAATGATCTATATTTCAGCTTGAAAAATTCCTGAAATTAATCTATTATCTTGATTGACTAGTTGATGAATCAGTTAATTGATTCAGCTCTACTCTCATCAAAAGAGAGGTTGTGCCTGGGAGGGATGCATGTACACCATATTTGCGCTTAGTTAGTCCAGGACTTTTGTGTGATATAAGTACTGTACAAATGAGTTTTCTCAATAGTATACAAATGTGAAATCATGACTTTAGTGTTAACAGTTTCCTTAATAACATACATTTTGTGGATTGTGGAAGCAATTGCTTCTTGTAGCCATGGTATTTTGTCCATTTTCTCAGTTTTATCCAGTGGAGGATAAGGATAAGGATAAGCATTTCTCTGTTGCCAGTAGCCATGGCAAGCTTTTATTCATTCGACTTGTATCCTTGCCTTTAGTGTTTTAGTTCTGGCATGAAAGACATTTTTCTCAAAAACTGTGATGTGCCTCAGAAGTAGATGATTAATCCTGCTGTGTCCAAGTCATCAGATTGGTTTTTAAGTGGTTAAAGTAGAGTAAAAAACTGAGATATTGCCTGCTTCCATGTAAACTTGGTGTCATTTAAAAAGAAACGTTATATTTTCTTACACATTGTAAAGAAGAGCAGTGTGTTCCCTAAAAAATAGTATTTTTCCTCAGGGTTGGGATAATTCCAGGAAGTAATTTTGCTCTTACCTGTTTGCAATTATTGATTATGAGACCTGAATAAAAGCCTAAACTTTGAAAAATTCTTACACAGACTTAACTACATCTCCCTTTTGTTTAATCTTTGTTCTTTCATCTGTCATTGAAGGCTGGGCAGCATGCTGTCACCTGCCAGACTCCCATTTTAACTGAAGGCAGCCATTCACCACTTTTAGTGTAATTAGATTGCTTAGAGACCAAGGTTGTAAACTAAATGAATGTCTAGCAGATTTTTTTCCTCCCTTCCCTAAATACATCTTTTAGCAACAGTAATTGATATTGATGCCTGCTGCAGGGAATGCTCCTAAATCACAGCCAGACTTAGGGTGACTGTGGGTTTAGCAGTTCCAAATAGTGTGAGTTATGTGTGAATAAGTACTTGCCGTCTTTAATGATGTGTTGTTGCCTTGTGCTCTTGCTGGGGAGCTCCGACAGGCCTGATGGATGAAGTGGTCTTGATGTGCCCTCCTGCAATCACCTATGTGTGGTTTCAATCAATAGTTCATTAGAAATTCTGATCACTCTCCAGCAGTGGAGGAATTTAATTTTATTTGAGGGTTTTTTTTATGAGTTTGTTAAATAGTGAATACATTATCAGTCAGTCATGGAAATGTTTATGTTCAAACATGTTGTCTGTTTATTTCCCATTTTAAATTGGCTTAGTTAGCGTTTGTTTTCGTCCAGTGAATTGATTGTGTTATAAATCTCCTCTGTCTCCCTGAGCAGTCAGCGTATGTTGCATTCACTCCAGTCCAATGCTTAAGTTGAGGGGGTTCTCTCTATATTACTCTCTGTGAAGCATGCTCATATTGTTGAGCTGTTTTCACACATAGGTTGCAAGTATGTGTTAATCAGTCTGCTCAGAGCCTGTGTTAAACAACACTCCCCCCGCCCGATTTGCCCTCCAAACGAATGGAAAGGCAAATTAATTTGTGCGCTCCGTTGCTTGCGGTATTGACTTGTTTCCAGTTTGGCCCCGTCATTAGCGGCTGATAATTTGAGTGTAGAGGGTCCAGAGCTCAGGCTCGTCCAACAGATCCATCTTATCTTGCAAGTTAATCAACTGGAGGATGAGTGAGGATCGTTCATTGTGGCTTTAACCAGAGGGTAAATGGTTCCACTCAGGTGTTGAGGATGCTCTGGGGTCCATGCACGATTGTGATGACTGAGGCCAGTGAATGGTATATAGTTACAAGAATTTCTTAACACTCAAAGGTGGGGTAAGTGATTCTGGAGAAATCCAATACCATGAAAAATACCATGATATAGGGCGAACAAGGCTGTGCTGTGTGGTGGGTTTGCAAACTAACATGCAGAAAGCCAGCCCACCAACTCCAGACAGAGATACTCACAACTCTACTGCTACTATAGCTAACATCACAACAACAGCATATCTTGGCAAAGTAGAAAGTAAGCTGAATATCCGTGGGCAAATCATTTAATGTTACCTTACACACAAATTCTTGTCTGGAATAACAAGTTAGTGCTGTGTGGCTCAGCCCAATCCACTTTGTTTCCCATTTACAGAGCCAGGGCTGTGTACAACCACCAAATAAGAGTGCACAGATTGCACAGCTAGCGGACCCATGATAAGATATTTGCTGAATTTGAAAAAAAGTGTGTTGTATTAGAATCGTATAACCTAGGATCGTTTACTCCACCTTTAACAAAACTCTTATCGGAAAGAAAGAAAATAACTCAGCCTACAGCCTGTTTCATTTAAAAAGTGGAGCGTTTATTATTATTTATTTATTATGTATTTTCTGTTCCCCTACTAGTCCTTACTAGTGCTTACTTTTACATTCAAATTACTGCAGTTAACCTTTTTAAATGAAAAAAGCTGGGTTACTCTCACTATTAAGGAAAAATTGATCTTGAGTTGAATCGTGACACCAAGAATCTGAAACAGATTGTGAAATTCCTTAAGATTTCCATCCCTGTATGCACTTCGATCCGCTTCAGGTCAATGTTGGAGTCATCTAGCAAATACAGGTGCATCTCAATAAATTAGAATATCATGACAAAGTTCATTTATTTCAGTAATTCAATTCAAAAAGTGAAACTCATATATGCGGTAGTATAGATCATTAACACAGAGTGAAATATTCAGCCTTTATTTCTTTTAATTTGATGAATATGGCTTCAGCTAACAAACCCAAATAAAAGATCTCAAAAATTAGATATTAGTATAGTATTCAATATGTGGATCAAATGTCTCATTCTAATCAGTTAATTAACGTTCAAAAACACGCTGCAAAGTTTCCTGAGCCTTTAAATGGTCTTTCAATCTCAATATGGTCTGGTTCAGTGAGAGTACACACATTATGGGAAGGGCTTGCTGGTTTGACTGTTTCCAGAAGCACGTCATCGCACATCACAAGGAGGTAATGCAAAAGGTTCATTGCTAAATGAGAGTGCTGTATTCATTCATAGAAAGTTGAGTGGCAGGAAAAAGTATGGTAGGAAAAGGTGCACAAGCAGCAGGGATAACCGCAGCCTTGAGAGGATTGTGAAGCAACACCCATTCAAGAATTTGGGGGAGCTTCACAAGGAGTGGACTGAGGCTCAACTAACTAAGATCTTAAGTGTGTGGATCTAGAAGCTTGTAAAAAACACATTAGATTTTGTTTTGGGATAAGAATTGATAAGATTCATTGTTACCAATACCATTATTGATGCTCACTGGTCCAAGTCTTTGTTACTGATTCCTGAATTTTCTGTGGGGGAAAAAAGTAGGCTTACACATTTATTCAACATCAATGCAAATCTTTTTGAGTCTGAACACAGTGTAGAAAAAGAGTAGAGTTATAGTAGTTTGAATTTCTTTGTGAAATTATGCCACATTTTGAACTGGTTCTCTGTTCCCTTGGTAAAGGAGTGATTGTTATCAATCAGTTTTGAATCAATCAAATTGCCAACAGAACATTAACTAATAATATAAATGCAGTTCTGAGTGTGTCCATTGTATTTGCGTCCTGCAGGACCAGATGGAGAAGGACCTGATTCTAAAGCTGCTGCTCAATCTACACCACCACCTGGCCTACATAGCTGGTAGCTATTAACTCTCTACACTTCACTCTGTGGCCACTGATTCACTGACTCACTGAAGGAGTTTGTGTTACACATTCTCACTCTTTTGAGCAGTGAGTCTTTCTCTCTTCATTGACTATGTTCACAACTCTTTCACTAAACAACCTATTGCCTCTTTGTTAAGCTACTCTTACATTTGATCATAGAATCAGTATGCATTCAGATGAAACTGAATGAATCAAGCCACGGGGGAGGCACTTTAAAGGTACATTAGGTCAGGGCTAGAAAATAGTGTCACCTGTCAGAGGGCCCAGTAGATTTATGACGACACAACCTGATACCCACTGAAGAGCCCAATGATAGGTCAGACATCATTTAACAACCAAAGCAACGTGGACCAAATGTTTGGCACACTGCACAGTTTATTAAAAACCAATAGCACACACAACTGACATTAAGACTTCCACATTTTGACTTTATATACTGGAATATGGGTACTACTCAGTAGATAAAAAGGATGTGAAGACTCATTGTGTTGTTACAAGGAGTTAGCAGAGGTGTGCTCTCTTTTATCAGTAATTGTTTGATATGGTGATTGCAGGCCAGCATGACTGTGGAGACCAGCAGCATCCAAACAGGAGTCTGTCCATGGACGAAGCCTCTGCGTACTTATTGGTAAGGCCCACCATTCTTGCCTGTTCAACAAATCATTGTTGTATTTTTCCAACAAACAGATATTTCACACACAAGTTTTGTGGCTCACAATGACCATGAAATTCTTCAAATTTGCATATCATACAAGATAACCTGCAGGGTTCCTACACAGTATAAAATTCAATTTTAGTCATTTCCAGGTCTGGATAAGCATAGAAAAGAGAAAAGAGTACAGAAACATATTTGTGTTTCCACACTATTGCACATATGTTTTCTGTAATATAAAATTCCGAATTTCCACCTGCCTAATATTGTGTAGGTCCCCCTTTTGCCACCAAAACAGCCATGACCCATCGAGTCATGGACTCACTAGACCTCTGACGATGTGCTGCGGTATCTGGCACCAACACGTTAGTAGCAGATCCTTTAAGTCGTACATGCAGGATTTTAAAATGTAGAAGAGCTCACTTCTACATTCTAGTAGTCCTGTATCTACGACAGTCTGGATATCACATCCTCCTGCATTCAGATACAAAGCAAACTTCTCACTTAATCATTGGAATTGGACAATTGTATCCTTTCCCTTTTTTTTTATTATTAGAGCTAGACAAGTTTAAAAAGACAAACGGACTTTAAACAACTCTCTTGTACATGCAGGAACTTTATCCACTTTAGATGGAGACAAGACTAAAAGTCTGTTAAAGTAAAGTATTACTGAAAAGCATAATTCATAAAGCAGCACCCCTAAGAGTAGGAACTCTTTGGAGCTTGACATTAAGCGCTATAGTGAAAACTGCTGTTCTTGTCATCAGTACTGTGTGTCATTTGTTCAGGCTCAGAATCCGGAGTTTAAAAACTTCATTCTTACTTCCCTGGAGTGGATCATCCGGACAGGACAGGATGTTGGGATACGGTAATACACCATATACATATTAATGCTGATCTTAAGTCTTGCATGTCACATCTGTATTCAGTGTGTGTGTGTGTCTGTGTGTGTGTCTGTGTGTGTGTGTAGGCTGACCGGGCAGGTAGCTGATGATCCAGTGACTGATGTTTCTGAGATATCTCATCTTGAATCCACACATCCAAAGATGCCCTTCACATGCCGCTTCCGCCGAGCCTTCCTCACCGTCATCAGCAGAGTCTTCCTCATCGCAGTTGGTGAGACCACATAAACAAGAACAAGCCTGAATCATGTGTAGCTCGTAGCTATATTCTCAGTTAACAGACCTAAAGAGCATTAAACCCCCAAATGAGTTGTATATCAACCTTGTGCATAGGGATTTGGAAAGATTACTCATGTTCCCGCCCTTACATACTAAAGACTTGTTACACCTGTGGCAACAAGCATTGTCTGCATTAACTTTAGTTGATACACTGCATGCAGCACCACGCTGAGATACAAAATAGTCAAACTATTGGGACTACTGTATCATTTTAATAGGCTACTACTATAACAAAACAATAAACAATCAGTATTGGTCAATATGAACACATACGTGTCAACTAAAATCAATCCAGCAGTCTACAGTTTGTGTAATGATCTGTGTTTCACTCATGCTTATGTGTGCAACAGTGACCTGAAGCAGACCTTGTGCAAGTCTGTCTGTTTTCTGCTGTTTCCATGCTACATTGATTGTGTATTGGTCTCCGAGTGCTACCAAAACGTACACGGTAAACGGACCTGTATTGTATAGCGTCTTTCTAGTCTTCCGACCACTCAAAGCGCTTTTACACTACATGTCACATTCACCCTTTCACACACATTCACTCAGTGATGGCAAAG